CCGTTTGTAATGGAGTGTCAAACCGCGGCTGTCAATAATTATCTAACCTTTAATTAATTAAATTATGGCAAATGTTACAGTTTTGCACTCACTCTCAGTTTTTCATTTTACAGTTATACTTAGTTGGAAGTCAGATGACTTTTTCTGTATTGTAATTTATTCAAGAAGTGATCACCAGTAAATAATATGGTTAATCAGGAAACATAAATGTAAATTATAGATTTACTGTGCAAAGGCGGGACCGCAGGAAAAGTGTCAAAAAATTGTGGAGTTTGCCACATGAAAATGTTGAGACTGAAAAAAAAATATAGCCTAAAGTGTTACTAAGTACAAAGGAATCCTGTCAAAAAATATTACGGCCCGATATCTTATGAACTTAGTAGCCAGTAGCGCTGCTGCCACTATTACAGAAGCGCTTAAGGTATCAAAATTAAATGCAAATCAGTAGACAGCGATGCGAAGAATTGCCAAATTGAGCGGAAAGGCAGTATAAAAGAAGAAAAAAACAATTTTGATCAAAATAAATGTGCAAGAGTGGTAGCATTTCCCTGCATCGCACGAAAACCGGACCGTTGTCTATTGGGATATGTTGGGCCTTTCAGAATGCAATAAAACACATTTTTAAGATTTAATTGAAGGTTATTTGGTCTGACAAGACTAAATTAATCGCTTTCAAACAGATGGCCGGGCGCGGTATTGGATCAAATACCCAAATTAAGCCTAAGCGCATCTTGTAATGCAAGCTGTGAATCACAGTGGTCGGTCAAAAATAGTTTCGGGTAAGGGTGGGTAACTCAGCAAATTGGCAGGAGTTGACTCAATAACTCCGACTCACTTTAAGGAGTCAGCTCATTCAACTAACTCATTTGACTCTTTGTAAGTTACACTCATTCGTATCGTAGACTCGTTTTGAATGTGATGTCTTGACTCAAGGCGAATTTTGTTTGTACAAATAAATTCGCCTTGTCTTGACTCATATTTTGAAACTTTATGCCAGGGTTGAAATTTGGATTGCAAGTTAACCGTCCTGTTCATAGATGGGTACCAGGGTATCTTTTGCATATTCAAGTGCAATTTTTATTATAAACTACTGATAATAACGAGTTAAAATTTGGTGACATCCTAAAAATATAAATTTTCTACAAAATGGAGAAAAGCTAAATTTAAATGCAATTTCATAAGGATGGTTTTTAAGTAAAATAATTTTATATTATTAGGTGGGGTGTACCTGGGTACAACTAGTAGGTACAACAACTGTTCACTTGCAAGTTTTTACTAGTTTTGTGTTCAGTAACTTTTTCTGCTAGTTTTCTCTTCTCAATTTTACGCTCTATTATGCTTTTACGCTCTCGCTGCAATTATTACTGGAGAAGTTACTATACAAACCTAATATGTTTCCGTTAATTCAAATAAAACTCGCAGCTTACTTGATTTTTTCAAAATTATCAAAGAAACAGCCTTAACTGCCTTTTGGTACCCGATCGAACTAAGGAGAAAAATTATTCATGAACAGGCCGGTTAACGGAAATTTTTAAATATTGTAATCGACTTATCCATATTGCGTAAGTAAATTATTTATAAATATTATTTATACATACATATTTAGAATCTTTAACGTACA